ATGATGTAAGAGAAAAAAAAAAAAAGAAAAGAAAAATTCATCCTAAAATTCATATGGAATCTCAAGGGACCCTAAATAGCCCAAACAATATTTAAAAAGAATAACAAACAAAGTTGGAGGTCTTAAGCTTCCTGATTTCAAATCTTGTATCAATGCTATAGTATTCAAAATAGTGTGGTATTACATAAAGATAGACATACAGATCAATTGACTAGAATACAGAGTCCAGAAATAAACCCTCACATATATGGTCAAATGGTATTCAACAAAGGTGCCAAAAACACACGTGGGGGAAAAGATAGTCTTTATAACAAATGGTGATGAGAAAATTGGACATCCACATGTAAAAGAATAAAGTTGGACTTATATCTTATAGTATATACAGAAATTAACTCGAAATGGATTAAAGACCTAAACATAAGAGCTAAAACTATAAAACTCTTATTTATAGAAGAAAACAGAAAAAAAATGCTTCATGACATTGGATTTAACAATACTTTCTTGGTTATTTACACTAAAAGCATAGGCAACAAAAGAAAAAATAGATAAATGGACTACATTAAAATTAAAATGGACAGTATTAACAGAATGAAAAGGCAACCTGTGGAATGGAAGAAAATAAAAGCAAATTATATATGTGATGTGGGTTAGTATCTGGAATATATAAAGAATTCCTACAATTCAACAATAAGAAACACACGATTTAGAAATGGGCAAAGGACTTGAATAGACATTTCTCCACAGAAGATATACAAGTGGCCAATAAGCATATGAAAAAATGCCCAACATCACCACTTGTTAGGGAAAGGCAAATCAAATAAATAAGATATCACTTTACACCCATTAGGATGACTATTACAATAAAAGAGATAGTAGTAAGTGTTGACAGAGATGTGGAGAAACTGAAACCCTTATGCACTGTTGGTTGGAATATAAAATGGTACAGCTGCTATGGAAAACAGTACGCCGGTTTCTAAAAAAATTAAAAATAGTATTACCACATGATTCAGCAATTCTACCTCTGGAATTCTACCCAAAATAATTGAAAACAATGACTCAAACACGTATCTGTACATTCATGTTCACAGCAGCATTATTCACATGGACAAAATATGGAAGCAACCCAAGTGTCCATTAATAAATGAATAGAAAAACAAAATGTGGTATGTATACACCATAGAATATCATTAAGCCTTAAAAAGGTAGGAAACTGATACATACTACAACAAGGATGAACCTTGAGGACATTATGGTATGTGAAATAAGCCAGTCACAAAAAGACAAAGACTTTATGATTCTACTTATATGAAGTACCTGGAGTAGTCAAAATCATAGAGAAAGAAAGCAGAATGATGGTTGCTAGGGTTTAGTGAGAGGGAAGATGGAGAGTTACTGTTTAATAAATGGAAATACTGTACAGAATTTCAGTTCTGAAATATGACAAAAGTCCTGGAGATGGATGGTGACGATGGTTGTGCAACAATGTGAATGTACTTAATGTCATTGAATTGTACGTTTAAAAATGGTTAAAATGCTAAACTTTGTTGTGTATATTTTACCACAATTTAAAAAACTGTACTTATCAGAACAAAATAAATAATAACCACCCGCTCCCCACCATCCCCTCAAGAAAGATTCTCATTGATTGGGCTCCCTTTATATGCTCTCTGAGGAGAGTAGCTGATTCATTTATTCATTAATATTAGTGCCCAGGCATATTTTCAGGACCTTGGGACGTTATCGGTGAAAATAAACATCCTCGTTCCTTATGGTCCTTAAGTTCTAGTAGGAAGAGAAGGAGATAGATAAGAGGAAAATAAAGTAATTTATATAGTATGCTCAAAAGTAATAAGTCAGTATGAAAGAAGAAAGAGTAGAGAATGGTAACATGGGAGTGCTGGGGTGGGTAGTGTTATTTGTAAATGTTAGATGGGGTGGTCAGAATAAGCTTCATTGAGGAGGTGACATCTGAACTAAAATGTGTTAGAGGTAATAGAGATCATCATGTGGTTGTATGGAGAACGATCATCCCAGGAAGAGGGAACATCTAGCACAAAGGGCCAAAGGAACACCAGACTGTTGTTTTGAGCAACAGCAAGGAGGTCAGTGTGGCTTCAGCAGAGTGAGTAAAGGGAATGATGCTAAGAGATGTTGTTGGAAAGGCATGTAGGTCACTGTAAGGCTTTTACTGAATATAATCTAAAGGTAGAGTCAGTAAGATTTGACAGATTAGAGTAAGAGAAAAAGAAGAACCAAGGATGATTCTAAGGTTGTAGGTCTAGGCAACATTAAAAATGAAGTTGAGACCAGGTGCAGTGGCTCATGTCTTTAACTCCAGCACTTTGGGAGGCTGAGGTGGGAGGATTGCTTGAAGCCAGGAGGTTGAGAACAGCCTGGGCAACATAGTGAGACCCTATCTCTATTGAAAACAAAAAAAAAGAAAGCAAAAAAAAAAAATTAGCTGGGTGTGGTGGCATGTACCTGTAATCCTAACTACTCAGGGGGCTGAGGTAGGAAGATTGCTTGAGCCCACAGGAGTTTGAGATTGCAGTGAGCTGTGGTTGCACCCCTGCACTCCAGCCTGGGCAACAGTGTGAGACCCTGTCTCTTAAAAAAAAAAAGATGAAGTTTCCATGAATTAAAATGGGGAAGGCTCCAAGAGAAGCAGGTTTGGGAAGGAAGATTAGGTGTTTGGTGTTAGATACACTGTGTTAGATATATCTATCAGATATTCAAGTGGAGATATCAAATAAGTAGCAGGATACATAAGTCTGGAGTTCAAGAAAGATGTGACTAAAGATAAAAACCAGCATACAGACAGTATTTGAAGCAGTGAAACTAGATGAGTTCCCCAAGAGAATACAGATAGAGAAGAAAAGAGGTCTAGGGACTAAGACTTGGAGCAACACAACATTAAGAGGTTGAGGAAAAGAAGAAATATCAGCAAAGGAGATTGAGAAAGAATGACCAAAGAGGCAGGTGGAAAACCAGAGACTTCATTTGAATTGGGTCTGTCTACTACTACTCTTTTAATCTTGTGAAAATGGCTTCATTTCTCTATGCCTTGATTTTCCTTGTACATAAAATAAATATAATACCAATTATCTCATGTAGCTGTTGTAAGAATTAACTGACACCAGGAAAATGGTTAGTACACAAGAGTGTTGGAACTCTGCAAGTGCTCACTAAATGGTGGCTGCTATTATCATGATTAACAATAATAATTCTTAGCCCTTCCTAGGCTACTACAGTCATTTATTCTACCACTTTACAAGAAATAACCAGGAGCCGGAATTTAAAGAGAAGACCAACAGAGGAGACACCATTAGAAACCATTTACAGTAAGACTATAATCTACCACTTCAGCCTTAATCTGACTATTCCTCTACCTATAAAAAAGCTCTTGGCAAAACGTCTGTTTTTCCTTGAACATGCCGTATATGTCCTGCCTCCATTCCCTGTTCATATTACTCTCTTTGTTTTACACATACTCTCAGTATCTACTTTCTAAAATTCTAGCTCATGCTTTCAAGGCATACCACAAAAGCCACATTCTTCTTTGAAATCATTCATGATTTGCCCTCAATGTGATCTCCCCTTTCTTTAAATCTTTGCAACTTTAATTAACTTTATGGCGCTTACCATTTCTATAATGTGGGCGATCAAGAGTTAATTATAAATGTATTAACCTTTCATTTTATTCTCTTAGGTTAGCCTTTCTAATCATATAATATCACTAGCAATATATTAATTCACCAGTTTAGTAATAAGGGTCTAAACAAACATGTATTTTAAGATATAATTTAACCATGGTTAATATAAGCCTTTTATTTTTTATTTTATTATTTTTTAATACAAGCCTTTTAGAAGTCTCATTTGCTCTCATTCTAAGTTTCTGTTTAAATCAACATCCAGTACTATGTTAAATCTTGTCTATTTACCTCCTTTTAACATTCCACACTCTTGCTACTCATGTTGGGAGTTCATTTCCAACTTGAAAACAATGCACTCTGCCAAATCTCATGTTGCCCCATATTTATCTGGAAAACTAAAGCAACCTATTTTCAGCATGACATTATTTAAAGTATTTACATGTTTGAGTTCACGTTCCTCTAATTTACTGCTCTCCCAAACAACAGCTGGTCTGTTTATCTGTTTTATTTTTAAATGAATAGTGGAAAAGAAGCAGAGTTACCTAAGTTGAAAACCTTTTAGACTCTGTCAGACCTAGGTTTGAAGCTTGGCTTTACCTGGTTCAAATCTAGTAAATTGTACAATCTTCATCAAGTTACTTAATGTTCTGGTGTTCAGTTTCCTTACGTTTAAAATGAAGCTATTACTTAAAGGTTATTAAAAGAATAAATGAAAAATTAGATATCATAAATAAAGCATGAAGATTGGACACTAGAATAACATTTGGCTTTTCTCTGTATTATTTGTATCCATTTGTATTTTCATTATCTATTGGAGGCTGTGTATATTTTAACTTAGACGCAGATCTGTAAGAGTCAATGCTGACTCTGAAGCTGCAAAGCAACACTGCCTTTTATAAAGCAAAACATTTTTGTTGGTTTTACTGATATTGGGTAGAATACATATTCTAGTAAGATTTTTAACATGAACAATAAATGAGATAACAAATGAATAAGAAAAGTAGAAAGTGATACAGAAATGCTTGTTGCTATTATTATTGGTAGATGACTTTTCTTTTTTTAAAAGAGATGGGGTCTTGCTCTGTTGCTGGAGTACACTGGGATGATCATAGCTCACCGCAACCTTGGACACCTGGGCTCAAGTGATCCTCCTGTCTCAAGCCTTCTGAGTAGCTGAGACTACAGGCATGCGCCACCACACCTGGCTAATATTTTTATTTCTTGTAGAGACAGAGTTTCATGATGTTGCCCAGACTGGTCTTAAACTCCTGGCCTCAAGCAACCCTCCCGCTTTGGCCTCCCAAACTGCTAGAATTACAGGTGTGAGCCACTGTGCTCAGCCAGTAGATTGAATCAAATTATGAATAATTTTAAAGTCATAAATAATAGAATGAATGTTTAGAGACAAAGAAAAAAGAATTTTAAAATGTAATGTTTAATGCTCAATAAAATTGATAAATTATTTCTTTACCTGAATCACTTGCTGCAACAACAACTGTTCCACCAGGAGCAAAAGGATCATTGTGCTTCACTGTTTCTACCTAAACAAATTATATAAAACCATGAATGAGAGTGGCAACATTTCTTAGCTGAAACTTCACTTCCACCCCAAAGAACAAACTCTCTGCAAATTCTATATTAATTAAAGAATACAAGCATTAGGAACAAATGTTTCCCCCCAAGTGATTTTCAATCTTACTAAATGAAAAGGATATATTTTATTTTCTAATCTTAACTATGAAAAACATTCATAAAAGTGTATGAAACAGCTATGGCTTAACAAATAAGCAGTAAGTGATTACCCATGTAATCATCTCCCAGCAAACTGCCAACACCTCAGAAGTCTTTATGTGGCCCTCTCAAATCAGAATTCTGACTTTGGAGGTATTCATTTCTTTATTCTTCATAATAATTGCTATTTTTATAGATGTACACTATTTTAAGTTTTTATTTTGAAGTAATTTAGACTTACAGAAGCGTTGTAAAGATAGTACAGAGTTCACATACATTCTTCACTTAGTTTCCTCTAATGTTAATATCTCACATAATCATGGTAAATCTATTAAAACTACAGAATTAACCCTGGTACAAAACTATAAACTACAGACTTTATTTGGATTTCACCAGTTTTTTCATTAATGTCCTTTTCTTTCTTTTTTTTTTGTTCCCCTAAAGAGATAGAGTCTCTGGCTGGGTGCAGTGGCTCACACCGATAATTCCAGCACTTTGGGAGGCCAAGGCAGGAGGACTGTTTGATGCCAGGAGTTCAAAATCAGCCTGACCAACACAGTGAGACCCCGTCTCTACAAAAATAGAAAAATTAGCCAGGCATGGTGGCACATGTCTGTAGTCCCAGCAACTCAACAGGCTGAGACAAAAGAATTGCTTGAGCCCAGAAATTTCAGTGAGCTATGACAATGCCACTGCGCTCTAGCCCAGTGACAGAGCGAGACTGTTTCAAAAAAAAAGAAAAAGAAAAAAAAAAAACTCCTCAAAATGCTAGACAAAAAATTCAAAATATTGATTTTAAAGAAGTTCAAATGAGATACAAGAGAAATCTGAAAAACAATACAAAGAAATTGGAAAATCTATTCAGGGTATGAATGAGAAATTTACCAAGGAGATAGATATCTTAGAAAAAAACAAACAGAAATTCTGGAACTGAAAAACTAATTAAAGAAAATATAAAATACATTTGACAGCTTCAATAATAGACTAGGCCAAGCAGAAGAAAGAATCTCAGAACTTGAAGACAGGTCTTTTGAAATAATCCAGTTAGACAAAAATAAGGAAAAAAGAATAAAAAAGAATGAACAAAGCCTTCAAGACATCTGGGACTACATAAAGTGACCAAACTTACAAACTATTGGTATTCCTGAGGCAGACGGGAGACCAAAAAGTTTAGAAAACCTATTTAAGGAAATAATCGATAAAAACTTCCCAAGTTTAGCAAGAGAGTTAGACATCCAGATACAGGAGGCTCAGCGATCCCCAGGCAAATACATTGCAAAAATGACTTCACGATGGCATATTATATTCAGGATGTCTAAAGTCAAAATGAAAGAAAGAATTTTAAAATTAGCAAAAGTGTTCAGTCATCCATAAAGGAAATCCCATCGGACTGACAGCAGACTTCTCATCAGAAACTTTATAGGCCAGAAGAGAACGGGATCACATTTTCAAAGTGCTGGAAGAAAAAAAACCTGTCAACCAGGAACTTTATATGTTTCCAGAAGAAGCTTCACATATGAAGGGGAATTAAGTCTTTCCTGGACAAGCAAACACGAAAGGAATTCATCACCACTAGATCAGTACTATAGGAAATGTGCAAAGGGGTCTCGAACATAGAAATGAAAGGTCGATATTCAAAAAATACACAAAAATATAAAATTTAAGGCATTATAAACAACCATGCAAAGAAGAGAAAAGAATCAAATGGCAAAACCACAAAGTGGTTTCATCAAACCACAAAGACAAAGAGAGACAAAGAAAGAATTTATAAAACAGCTAGAAAATAATTAACAACATGAGAGGAATAAAGCCTCACATATCAATATTAACCTTGAACGTAAATGAGTTAAATGCTCTACTTAAAAGATACAGCCTAGCAGAATGGGCCGGGCTCGGTGGCTCACGCTTGTAATCCTAGCACTCTGGGAGGCCGAGGCGGGCGAATTGTTTGAGCTCAGGCGTTCAAAACCAGCCAGAGCAAGAGCGAGACCCCGTCTCTACTAAAAATAGGAAGAAATTAATCGGACAACTAAAAATATATAGAAAAAAAAAATTAGCCGGGCATGGTGGCACATGCCTGTAGTCCCAGCTACTCGGGAGGCTGAGGCAGGAGGATCGCTTGAGCCCAGGAGTTTGAGGTTGCTGTGAGCTAGGCTGATGCCACGGCACTCACTTTAGCCCGAGCAAAAGAGTGAGACTCTGTCTCAAAAAAAAAAAGAAAAAAAAGAAATTCACCGTACCTGTAAAGACATATATAAACTAAAAGTAAAGGAGTGGAAAAAGATATTCCACAAAAACAGAAATCAAAGGTGAGCAGGAGTAGACAAAACACACTTTATAAGTAAAGAACAGTAAAATAAGACAAAGAAGGTCATTATATAATGATAAGGACATCAATTCAGCAAGAGGATATAACAATCCTAAATATATATATATATACACACACACACATATATATATATATTTAGAAGCTCCTAGAGTCACAAAACAAATATTACTAGACCTGAAGAAAGAGACTGCAATAGTGGGGTACTTCAACACCCCACTCACAGCACTAGATAGATCATTGAGACAGAAAGTCAACTAAGAAACACTGGGTTAGACCAACTGGTCTAATTGGACATTAGACCAAATGGACTTAACCGACATTTACAGAATATTCTACCCAACAAGTACAGAATAGATATTCTTTTCACCAGCATATGGAACATTCTTCAAGATAGAACACGTTAGGCCATGAAATAAGTCTTAACGAATTTTAAAAAATCAAAATCATATCAAGTATCTTCTCACACTAAAGTGGAAAAATGTTAGAAATCAATATGAAAAGAAACTTCAGAAACTATGCAAATATTAATACACGGAAATTAAACAACATGCTCCTGAATGATCACTGGGTCAATAAAGAAATAAAGAAATTTAAAATTTTTTGAAACGAATGAAAATGAAAATACAACGTATCAAAACCTGTGAGATACAGCAAAAGCAGTGGTAGGAGGGAAGTTTATAGCATGAAATGTCTACATCAAAAAGGAGAAAGTTGATCCTAGGTCATGTTGGTTTAAAAAAAAAAAAAACAGTAGAAAGATCAGCGCTGGGTGTGGCTCAAGCCTGTTATCCCAGCTGAGCACTGAACTGGGAGGCTGAGAAAGGAGGACTGCTTGAGGTCAAGAGTTATAGATCAGCCTGGAAACAGTGAGACCCAATCTCTACCAAAAAATTTTTGAAAAATTAGCTGGGTGTGGTGGCACACACCTGTAGTTCCAGCTATCTGGGAGTCTGAAGTAGGAGGATTGAGCACACAAGTTTGAGGCTGTAGAGATCTATGGTTGTGCCGCTACATTCCAGCCTGGGCAAGAGATTGAGACCTTGTCTCTAAGAAAAAAAAAGTCAAAAGATCAGAAATTAACAACTTAACATCATACCTCAAGGAACTAGAGAAACAAGGATAAATCAAACCCAAAGTTAGCAGAAGAAAAGAAAAAAACAAAGATTAGAACAGAACTAAATGAAACAGAGACCAAAAAAACAATAAAAAATAACGAAAGGAAGTTGGTTCTTTGAAAAGATACACAAAATTGATAAAAACCACTAGCTAGACTGACCAAGAATAGAGAAGACCCAAATAAACACACTCAGAAATGAAAAAAGGAAACATTACAACTGATACCACAGAAATATAAAAGATCATCAGAGGCTATTAGAAACAACTATATACTCACAAACTAGAAAACCTACAAGAAATGGATATATTTCTAGAAATATACAACCTCCCAAGGTCGAACCAGGAAGAAATACAATCCTTGAGTGGACCAATGATGAGTAGCAAGATTGATTCAGCAATAAAAAGTCTCCCCCCAAAAAGCTCACAACCACATGGATTCACAGCCAAAATTTACCAAACATACAAAGAAGAACTAATACCAATCCTCCTGCAACTGTTCTAAAAAAAAAAAAAAATTGAGGAAGGGGGAATTCTCCCCAACTCATTCTACGAGGCTAGTATTACCCATACCAAAATCAGAAAAGGACTCAACAAAAAAAGAAAACTACAGACCAATATACCTGATGAACACAGACAAAAAAATCCTCAACAAAATACTAGCAAATAGAATCCTATAGCACATCAAAAAGATAATACACCATGAACAAATGGGTTTTTATACTAGGGATGCAAGGATGGTACAACATATGCAAATCAATAAATGTATTAATAATATACCACATAAACAGAATTAAGGACAAAAACCATATGATCATATCAATAAATGCAGAGAAAGCATTTGGTAAAATTCAGCATCCCTTCATGATAAAAATTTTCAGTGAACTAGGCATTGAAGGAATGTATCTTAAAATAATAAAGGCCATATAGGACAAACCCATAGCCAACATCATACTTAATGGGGAAAAGTTGAAGACATTTCCCCAAAGAACGAGGTTATTAAGTATGGAATGTCCGATTTCCGTAAGTACTAAGTTTGACAGTTGATATCTCTGACATTTCCCTTTGACACTTCTTGTTTTATTTTTTATTGTGAAGTTACATCCTCATTCTTTCAAACACACGTTTTGGCCCGTGATTATTTTTCACATTTTTTCTTTACAGCAATTTTTGTGAAACCATGGATAAGTAAAACATTCATGTTATTTTTGAATATGAGTTCTGTCGTGGAAACAGTGGCAGCACAGACACCTAGAAATATCAACGAAGTGTTTGGGAAGGATATGGCTAATGAACGCACAGTACACTGATGGTTTGAGAAGTTCCATTCTGGTGATTTTTATCTTGAAAATGAACCACGTGGGTGATCTGAGACCAAGGTGGATAATGATGAGCTGAAAATTATAGTGGAAGCAAGTCCATCTTAACCTGCTCGTGAATTAGCAGCAAGGTTTGACATTACTATTCCAACAATATTGGACCACTTGAAATAAGCAGGCAAGGTAAAGAAGCTGGATAGATGGGTTCTGCATCTATCCAGAACGAACTTCAGAAGAGAAATTGTCTCGAAGCTTGCCTTTGCTGTCATGACATAAAGGCGAATCATTTTTATACTGTATTGTTATGTGTGATGAAAAATGGATTCTTTTTGACAACTGCAAGCGTTCGGCACAATGGTTGGATAAAGATTAAGTGCTGAAACACAGTACAAAACCGAATATTCATCAAAAAAAGCTAACAGTGTCTGTTTGGTGGTCCAGCGCTGCTATTACCCACTACAGCTTCATGAAACCTGATCAATGCATTATAGCAGATGTCTACTGCAACCAAATGGACAAAATGATGAGGATGCTTGTGATTAAGCAGCCAAGATTGTTAGAAACAGACGAATCCTCTTGCAAGACTACAAGTCACAAAAAACAACACTGCTCAAACTACAGAAGCTGGACTTGGAAACTCTCTTGTCATCCACCATATTCACCAAACCTTGCACCAACTGACTACCACTTCTTCCAGGCTTTGGACCACTTTTTGAAAGGAAAAATATTCAATTCTCAACAAGCTGTGGAAAACGTCTTTCACGATTTCATCGCCACTTGCGCTCCAGGCATCTTTGCTGCTGGCATAAGCAAGCTACTGTTAAGATGGCAAAACTGTGTCGATAATTTAGGTACATACTTTGGTTAATTGTACTGCTTCTTATTTGAGATATAATAAACTATACTTTTGATTCAAAATCGGACATTTCAGATTTAACGACCTCATACCAACTTAACCTCTCTAAGCCTCGTTTACTTTATTTGAGAATAACAACCTCATAGGATTATTGTGAAAATTAAATGAGACAATGTATAGAAAGAACTTAGAACCATCCCTGGTACACAGAAGAGATTAGATCAACTACAGCTGTTATCATATTGCCAATTTAGGTTTTGTTTCATTTTTAATGGTG